AGGAAGGAAGGAAGGAAGGAAGGAAGGAAGGACTTCTCAGGGGCACCAGCAGGAAACTGCAGGTAGGAGCATGCAGGCCAGGTTCGACTCAGGTGTCTCAGGCCGGGTTTCGTGGTTCCCTCTCACTGGTTCAAATCCACCCGCACACCCTAACCCCCCGCAGTAGTTGCAGGATCTCTCCATCCACAGAGGGCTCAGCTCAGAAGCCACCACCAGCTGTGATCTTGGGGTGGGGGGATACCCCATGTCACCTCATTCCCCCTACAACCCAAGTGGATGGGCACCAAGCGAGCCCAGGATTCACTCACACACACACACACACACACACACACACACACACACACACCGCCAAAGCACACACCTGGGGACGAATACCACGTTGTGCAGGTAATCCTCGAACGTCTTCCGGAACGAGGACTCCTCCAGCTCTTTCAGGATCTGAGAGTCAGTCTTGGGGCAGGAGCAGCACTCGCTGGCAGAGTCGTCATACTCGCTCTGATTGTTCTTCTGAGAATCCTTGGACTCAAACGGTGGGGACCACATCCTGGAAGGTAGCTTCAACCCTAGGGAAAGACACCCAGCAAGAGAGAGGAGTGCTCAAGTGTCACCCTCCCTCCCCCAAAAGGACACACGCTCAGGCCCAGGTGGAAAGTTCCACGTTGCAAAAAATAAAAAGAAGAAGGAAAAAACCTCTGGGGCGGGTATGGTAGTGCATGCTTTTCATCCCGGCTCCCTGAAAGGCAGAGGTAGGAAGATCACAGTACAAAGCGAAGGGGAGGGGTGGCTCAGGTGGTAGAGCACCAGCATTGAGTGGAGAAAGCCAAGCAAAGTGCGCAAGGCCCTAAAGTCAAGCCCCAGGACTGCCTGGCTCAAGCACGCATGCACACACACACACACACACACACACACACACACACAAACACACTGATATCACTAATAGGCAACTACTTCTGGTCATCATTAATCAATTTGTGTATTGTGTACATGATATGGGACAACAAACCTAACAAGAAGCGTACTATCTGAACCATCTAGCAGTGTCTTTCTTTTTGTTTTGGTCGGTTGTGGGGCTTGAACTCAGGGCCTGAGTGCTGTCCCTGAGCAGTTTTTTCCTCTACCAGTTTGAGCCACAGCACCACTTCCGGTTTTCTGACAGTTCATTGGAGAGAAAAATCTCAGGGACTTTGCCTACCCAGGCTGGCTTCGAACCGTGATCCTCAGATCTCAGCCTCCTGAGTAGCGAGGATGACAGGCGTGAGCCACTGGCGCCTGACTTTTTTTTAATTCTGTAACCTCTGTAATAATTACACAAATCCAAAGTTTAATGAGCTCCACGCTAATCCCCTCAAGAGGCGTGTTTGGCTGCCGTAGCTGGCGTCAGACCCTCAAAGGCACAGCCAACTGCTCAGCATGGAGCCCGACATGGGGCGGCCTCAAGTTATATAAAGCAGCTGAGGAAATAAATCACGCCTGTAATCCCAGGCCAGGCCAGGGTGATGTCATAGGCAGACATATAGCGCATGATGTTACACTCGGGGAAGCTCCTGGCCGTCATCTGCCTTCCACCCCATCTCCCAAAATGGAGACACACAGGAACGCCACCAGGGACTTAAGCCAAACCTGGCAGCAGAGTCCGGAGCCAGGCCAAGAGGCCTGCCACACGTCACCAGCATTCCCCTGGCCTGGTGCCCAAGCTGTGCCACCCACTGACGCCGGCCCAGGAAAATCAAAGACAAACAAACCAACTAACTCAGAAGACACACAAAAAAAAAAGACAAATGAACCAGGGTTGGTGGCTCACGCCTGTAATCCCAGCTACTCAGGAGGCTGAGATGTGAGGATCAGTTCAAAGCCAGCCCAAGGAGGAACATCCATGAGACTTTTTTTTTTTTGTCAGTCCTGGGGCTTGAACTCAGGGCCTGGGCACTGTCCCCAAGCGCCTTCTGCTCAAGGCTAGCACACTACCACTTGAGCCACAGTGCCACTCCAGCTTTTTGTTTCTGTGGTACTGAGGAATAGAACCCAGGCTTTATGTATGCTAGGCAAGCACTCTACCACTAAACCACATTCCCAGCCCTCTGTGAGACTCTTATCTCTAATGAATCACCAGAAAACCAAAATTGGAGCTATGGCTCAAGTGGTAGAGCGCCAGCCTTGAATGAAAAGAAGCTCAGGGACAGTGCCCAGACTGCAAATTCAAGCCCCAAGACTGACAAAAAAAATAAAAATAAAAACAAAACTAAAAAGATAAATGAAACAACTAACTCAAGGGGGGGAGGGGGAAGGAGTAAAACAATAATAACCACAAAAGCTTTCTCTGTGCATCACCTTCATAATAACGGTAAAAAAAAAAAAAAAACTTTCTCTTGTCCGGAGAATTTTTTAACCCCCTTTCTATATATGTATATAAAATATATTCTGGTTTTCTTCCTGTGTAAGAGAACACCAGAACATTGTCACCAACTTGTTCCCTTAATATGTTATCAAACTACACACACACACACACACACACACACACACACACCCCTTTCCTCTCCTCCCTCAGCTTCTGATAGCCACTATTGTAAGGGTTGTGAATGCTTCCTTGTTTGTTTTATTGGTCCTGGGCTCTGTCCCTGAGCCTCTTTGTGCTCAAGGTTACCACTTTATCACTTGAGCCACAGACTTTTCTGCTCAGGCTGGCTCCAAACTGGGATCCTCAGATCTCAGCCTCCTGAATAACAGGATTACAGGTGTGAGTCACCAGTGCCCAGCTTTGAATACTTTATTACAGAGCAATATTAAATGGGAAAGCTGTTACTCACATTTGATTTAAGCATATTGTATACATACATATGTAGAGAAGAGTTTTTAAACTCAAAGCCTCACGGTAGCTAGGCAGGTCACTCTACCAATGGAGCCATGCCCCTACTGCTTGAGCTAGGCAGCCAGCTCTTTTTGCTTAAGTGGTTATTCAGATAAGGTCTGAGACTTTTTGCCTGGAGTCAACCTCAGAATCTGATCCTCCTACCTCTGCTCCTGAGTTGCTGGGATTACAGGCATGAGCCACCGCACCCCAGCTAATATGGACAATTATTGGATAGCAAAGAAAAATTTTAAAGTAAACTAGTTTTAAAATAATCTACACATATTACTTTGAGGTTTTAAATCTTTATCCATTTTCCTTCAAGGCAATTGAATCTGGTGAAATAAACAAGATTCAAAATGGAAAACAAAAACAAAACAAAATAAAAACAAACCTGTCATGAGGATGTCTTTCTTTATTGGAAGCACAGAAAGAAGATCAAAGATAGCTCCTTATTGTCTCTGACTCCTAAAGCTATGAGGTATTATCCAGTCATCGATGGCTCACTCCTGTAATTGTAGCTATCAGGAGGCTGAGATGTGAGGATCACAGTTTAAGGCTAGCCCCAGTAGAAAAATCCATGAGTCTTTTATCTCCAATGAACCACCATGAAGCTGAAAGTGGTGCTGTGGCTCAAGTGGTAGAGAACCAGTCTTGAGCAAAAAAAGCTTAGGGACAGCACCCAGGTCCTGAGTTCAAGCCCCAGCAAAGGCACAAAAAAACAACAACCAAAAATGTGTGTGTGTGTGTGTGTGGTCATTCACAGATGCTGTGGCTCACAACTAGAATCCTAGCTACTCAGAGAGCTGAAATCTGGAAGACCAGCCCAGATAGAAAAGTTTCAGACACTGTCTCCTCCAATTAACTAGCAAAAAGTCAAACTAGAGGCATGGCTCAAATGGTAGAATACCAACCATAAGCAACAAAGATGAGCAAACATGGCAGCCTGAATTTAAAACCTAATAGTGAAGGAAGAAAAAAAAAATCTAGGGGGTCCTGGAGAGGCCAAAATCCTTCTCTGACTTTGCCAGTGACTTTCCCACAAGCTGGCTGCATTTCTGGCTTTGCAGAGTCTCGAGTAGGTTAACATCGCCATGTGCCTTGCAATGGGGGTAGAAAAAGGGGAAGAGAAAAGCAAGAGGAAGAGGAGAACATTCCAGAAGAGAATGGTGGGGGCCCATTTAAGGATGGCACAGGAAGAAATGAACCATTCGGGAGACCAACTGACTGAATGCTGCACAAACAAGATGGCGGCTATGCCACTAAATGATACCACTGTACGGGGGCGCCATCATCTATGTGGCGCGAGGCTGATTGAGACGTGGTATGTGGCCTGCTACTGTATCTGGATATTTTGAGTTTCATTGGGAGGAGGGGGTGTCTTTTTTTTTTTGTTTTGCCATGTTGGGGATGGAAGCCCAGGGCCTAGCCCATCTTAGACACGTGCAGAACCATTGAACTACATCCCACACCCACACCCCCAGCCCTGCGCCTGGCTTTTACATGAGTCTTCAGTGTGTAGGTATGTATAGTGTTGGGTTTTTGGGTTTTTTTTTGGGTCCAGTCGTGCGTGGGGCGTGAACTCTGGGTCTGGGTGCTGTCCCTCAGCTCTTCAGCTCAGGGTTAGCGCTCTACCACTTGAGCCACAGCGCCACTTCCGGCTTTTTTCTTTTTGCTTATGTGGCGCTGAGGAATCAAACCCAGGGCCTCAGGCATGCAAGGCAAGCATTCTACCACTGAGCCAACTTCCCAGCCCCCGAACTTATTTTATTTTTATTTTTTGTCATGGGGCTTGAACTCTGGGCCTGGGCACTGTCCCTCAGCTCTTCAGCTGAAAGCTAGCTCTCTACCAGTTGAGCCATAGCTCCACTTCGAGTTTTCTAGTGGTTTATTGGAGATAAGAGTCTCACAGACTTTCCTGCCCAGACTAGCTTTGAACTGTGATCCTCAGATCTCAGCCTCCTGAGTAGCTAGTATTATAGGCATGAGCCAGCAGTACCCAGCTTAATCCCCAGAACTAATTAAAAAAAAAAAAAAGCAAGCAGATTCTTGACACAGATTGGAAAATGAGAGTTCCAGGACTACAAGAGTGCATCACCCTACCCAGCTGAAGGATGCTCTTAACATTGCAAAAGGAGGGTGCAGGACAATCAAGGCTGTTTTCCTGCCCTAACCCCTACTCCAGGTCGCCTGGCACCCAGAGCCTCCCCCTCCACCCCTCCACCTCCCACCCAGTACTCACTGCCTCCTCGGATATTGATAATCAGGCTGCCGTTAACCACCGTACAGCCTCGAAGCTCCTGGGCTGAGGTCACTGAGTCAATTGTCTTCTCTCCTTCCAGGAGGTGACAGATCTTGGGACAAGGCCCCAGGCATGGGGTACACATCAAGCTGAAAATGGAGCCAAGAGAGAGAGAGAGAGAGAGAGAGAGAGAGAGGTCAGACATCTCATCCAGCTCAATCCAGCCCTCAGCACACACCAGTGAGCTGGGATGGGTTCACATGTAGCCTGAGAAAAAGGAAGAATGATATTCCGGTGGAATATTACTTGGCCATAAACAGAAACGAAATGGTTATCATTTGCAGGGAGATGAATGGAGCGGGAGTTCATCATGTTGAGCAAGATCAAGCTAGCTCAGAAAGTCCAGTAGCAAAGGTTTTTCCCCCTATTTGGGGTTTATACATAAACTACACATAAACACAAATCCATCCATACGTAACTGTGGAAATATTGGAGGAGGGGCAAGGGGAGAAGGAAAGACAGAAGCCAAACAAGATCAAAACCCATGGTGAGCCAGTCGCTGGTGGCTCATGCTTGTAATCCTAGCTACTCAGGAGAATGAGATCTAAGGATTCAGGTTCAAAGCCAGTCTGGGCAAGAAATTCCAAGATACTCCTATCTCTAATGAGTCAACAAAAACCTGGAAGTGGAGGTATGGCTCAAGTGGTAGAACACCATCCTTAACAACAACAACAAAGCCAAGGGAGAACGTAAGGCCCTGAATTCAAGCCTCACACAAAAATAAATAAACAAGAAAGGGCTCAGGTATGAGTTTGGGGAGAGGCTGTGAGGTTCCCCAGGAGCATCCTGTAGCATGCTGAGGGCTGGCTGGATCTCTGGACTGTGCACAGAACAGCAAGCCATCTTGGAAGTTCCTGCGCCAAAGTCACAGTTTTGAGGACTGTTGAGAATGTTGGGGTGAACTGTGGCAGGCCTCTGGAGACTGCGAGGCTTGCCAGTTTGCCAGGATCATTTGTGAGATGAGATGGTTGGGGTTTTTAGCTGTACCCAGCACCAAGCCAGGCTACAACAAACCACAGCTCAGAAATGTGCAGGTTGGAGAGAGAGAGAGAGTGTGTGTCTTGGAACTTGAACTCAGGGCCCCATCACTTCCCATTTTCTGGTGGTTCATTGGAGATAAGAGTCTTGTGGCGACCAGGCGCCCGTGACTCACGCCTGTAATCCTAGATACACAGGAGGCTGAGATGTGAGGATCACAGTTCAAAGCCAGCCTGGGCAGGAAAGTCTGTGACTCTTATCTCCAATAAACTGCTCAGTAAACTGGAAGTGGTGCCTGTGGCTCAAGTGGTAGAGCGCTAGCCTTAAGCTGAAGAGTTGAGGGACAGCGCCCAGGCCCAGAGTTCAAGCCCCACGACTGACAAAAAAAAAAAAGAGAGAGAGAGAGAGAGAAAGTCTCATGGACATTTCTGCCTGGGCTGGCTTTGAACCATGATCCTCAGATCTCAGTCTTCTGAGTAGCTAGGATTACAGGTGTGAACACCAGTGCCCAGCCCTTCTCTTCCTCCCCCCCTTTTTTAAGTCTTTTTATTTAAAGTTAATGGCTTTTAAACAAACATGTCAACAAGAGCTCTTTGTTTTTTTTCAAATATGAAAACAAAAACATCCTAACCAGTAGGAAAAGGTAATTTTATAGAGTCCTATTTTTGGTCAACAAAGTCACTTGATGTTCTGCTTTTGAAAGAAAAAAAAATCAAAAAGGCCAAAAACAAAACATATTGTACTTGGAGGTTTTTATAAACACTAAAAAGGAAGATCTGGAAGAACTGGGCTGCCATAAAGATGATTTTCCTTCCCACTGAGAGAAATCAAATTCCCACCAGCACATGCTCGCTTGGCTAATTCTTCAGTCTGAAGAGGAGTTGTTGGTTTTTTTTTTTTTTTTTTTTGACGTAAGCAGGTCACCTCCAAGCCTTCCAACAACAACACCATGCGTCTGTCTGCTTGGCATTTGTTTGGTTTCATTTTGTTTTTCTTCTCTTTTTTTTTTTTAATTGTGAAAATACTGTACAGAGGGGTTACAATTACATGAGCAAAGTAATGAGTTCATTTCTTATCAAGCATTGTTGCCTTCTCCTTTGTTTCCCCTTACCATCCCTTCCTATTCTTCTCTTCTTTGATGCTTATGTGTTCGCTTTTCATAATTTTTTTTAATCCTCCATACCAAAAAATTAAAAAGTAGGAAACATTTTGTTTTTCTTTCCCTTCTTTCTGGGAACTCAGGGCCTGGGCACTGTCCCTTGAGCTCATTTGCTCAAGGATAATGCTCTACCACTTTGAGCCATAGCTCCACTTCAGTTTTCTGATGGTTCATTGGCATTAACAATCTCCTGGACTTTCCCGCCTGGGCTGTCTTTGAAGTTCAATCTTCAGATCTCAGCCTCCTGAGTAGCTAGGATGGATGACAGGTGTGAGCCACCAGTGCCTGCAGGATAGATTTTTTTTAACTTGGTGAATGGCCCAAGACACCAAAATATCTCATATAAGAAAAGAACACAGGGGGCTGGCTAGGAAGGTGGCTCAGAGGTAGAGCGCTTGCCTTGCATGCATGAGGCCCTGGGTTCGATTCCTCAGCACCACACAAGCAGAAAAAAAAAGCTGGAAGTGGCACTGTAACTCAAGTGGTAGAGTGCTAGCCTTGAGCTGAAGAGCTGAGGGACAGGGCCCTGACCCAGAGTTCAGCCCTCACAACCAGACCCCCCCAAAAAAAAGAAAAGAAAAGAACACAGGGCTGGGAACCTGGCTTAATGGTAAAGTGCTTGCCTAGCATGCATGATGCCCTGGGTTCAATTCCTCAGTACCACAGAAAGAAAAAGCTGGAAGTGGCACTGTGGCTCAAGTGGTAGAGTGCTAGCCTTAAGCAAAAGAAGCTCAGGAGCTGTGTCCAGGCCCTGAGTTCAAGCCCCAGGAGTGGAAAAAAAGAAGTGCAGGGGAAGGAAGGAAAGGAGGGAGAGAGGGAGGGAGAAAGGGAAGGAGGGAGGAAGGAAGGGAGGGAGGGAGGGAGGGAGGGAGGGAGGCAGGCCACAAACAAAATGTCTGTGACATTTGAAAAAAAAAAAAAGAAAATTAACCCACCCCTAAGCAGAGTAACCCTGCTATTTCTCACCCAAATGGTAGGATACGGTCTAATTATGTCATTGTTCAAACAGCAGCAAAGTTCTAGGAAAGGCAGAGATAACACAGTCCACACTAATGTTAACACCACCCAGATGCCAGGTAAGATAAGACATGGAAAACAAAAGGAAACAAAACAAAACCTCAGCCTGGATCCTCTTACCTATACCTCCCACAAAGCCACGATTACAGCAAGCACCACCATGCCCAACTGCCATATTAAGAAGGCTAATTAAACATTTGTCCAGGTCAGCCCTGAATTTAAGTCACTGAGGACAGCACACCACAGCAGGAAGCCCAGGGGAGATTAAAGACTTCCTTGTTTTGTTTTGTGTTTTTTAATCTTTTCTCCTCTTGCAAATAAGCACAAGCTGAGCACAGCCGAAGCACCTGCCCATCCATCAGGGAACCAGCCCAGGTGTCCAACAACTAATGAAATGGATAACAATTTTTTTTTAAAGTGGTGTATATGCTTGGTGGAATGTTACTCGGCACCACTGGAGATCATCAAGTTAAGAGCAGTAAGCCAGACTCAGAAAGACGGATATTATACATTTTTCTCTCCTCCGCAGGAGCTAGATCCAAAGAGTAAAACAAAATAAAAAAAAAAATTTTAAGACATTAACAGCAAAAAAAAAAAGGTGGGAAGGAAAGAAGACTGTGACAAGGGCAAGTCGTGTGCATAAATGAGAATATCATAAGGAAAGCCATGCTAAAGTAAAGAAAGAAGTTGCAAGAAACCTTTTAAAAATGGGAATAGGAGCCAGGTGCTGGTGGCTCACGCCTGTCATCCTAGATGCTCAGGAGGCTGAAATCTGAGGATCATCGTTCAAAACCAGCCCAGGTAGGAAAGTCCATGAGACTCTTATCTCCAATGAATCACCAGAAAACCAGAAGTGATGCTGTGGCTCAAGTGGTAGAGCACTAGCCTTGAGCTGAAGAGCTCAGGGACAGCACCCAGGCCCAGAGTTCAAGCCCTGCAACCGACAGAGAAAGAAGGAAGGAAGGAAGGAAGGAAGGAAGGAAGGAAGGAAGGAAGGAAGGAAGGAAAAGAAAGAACGAAGGGAGGGAGGGAGGGGAAGGAAGGAAGGAGAAAGGAAGGAAAAGAAAGAACAAAAGAAAGAAAAGAAAGAAAGAAAGAAAGAAGGAAAGAAAGAAAGAAGGAAGGAAGGAAGGAAGGAGAGAGAAAGGAAGGAAAAGAAAGAAAGAAGGAAAGGAAGGAAGGAGGGAAGGAAAGAAAGAAAAGAAAAATGGGAGTAGGACTCAGGAGGCTGAGATCTGAGGATTGCGGTTCAAATGCAGTCTAGCCAAGAAAGTCCAGGCTTTTATTGCCAATTAACCATCAAAAAGCCAGAAATGGAGCTGTGGCTCAAGCAGAAGAGCACCAGCTTTGAGCAAAAACACAGCTTAGGGACAGTGTGTAGGTCCTGAGTTCAAACCCCGGGACTGACACACAAACATACATTTACAGCCGGGCGCTGGTGGCACATGCCTGTAATCCTAGCTACTCAGGAGGCTGAGATCTGAGGATCACGGTTCAAAGCCAGCCCAGGCAGGAAAGTCTGTGGGACTCTTATCTCCAATAAACCACTAGAAAACAGGAAGTGGCATTGTGGCTCAAGCGGTAGAGTGCTCACCTCGAGCTGAAGAGCGCAGGGACAGCGCCCAGAGTTCAAGCCGCCTGACTGACAAAAAAAAAAAAAAATACACACACACACACACACACAACACACACAAAGGTAGGAGAGGTTGAGGAGAGGAGGAGGTATTTAAAAGAGAGACAGAGGCATGAACATTAAAAAAATAAAAAATAATTTCAGGGGCTGGAAAGGTGGCTCAGTGGTAGAATGCTTGGCTTGGATTCATGAGGCCCTGGGTTCGATTCCTCAGCACCACATAAGCACAAAACGCCAGAAGTGGCACTGTGGCTCAAGTGGTAGAGCACTAGCCTTGAGCTGAAGAGCTGAGGGACAGCGCGCAGGCCCAGAGTTCAGCCCCACGATGGACAACAAAAAATAAATAAGTGAATAAATAAATAAATGACAAATGAGCAGCAACAAGAAATGGAGCCCAAAATGCCAGCAATCCTTCCTCTCTGACTTTTTTTTTTTTTAATCAATGTCTGCCTCGAAGCCCAGGAACCAGGACATGAGGTGAAAAATGGCAACTGAGGCCGGGCACAGTGGCTCACGCCTATCACCCGGACTAACTGGGAGGAAATGGTCAGGAAGATCTCACTCTGAGGCCAGCTTCAGGGTAAAAAATAAAAATAAAAAGTAGCCAAAACCCCATCTCAATCAACAAGTCATGTGTGGTGTGGCAGGTACCTATCATCCCAGGATGGGAGGCTGTAGGTAGAAGGAACAAGGTAAAAGGCCAGTTTCTGGGCAAAAAGCATGAGACCCTCCCGGGCTGGGCTTGGCGGACTCACTTGGTGGAGTTCATCGTGTACCCGGAGGGGCACTCGGGGATGCACTTGTTGTCGTGGATGACGTACTGGTGACAGCCCTGCCTCCGTGAGTTCTTGCACTTGTTGTGCAGGTCCAGGCAGAAGCTGAAGTTGACACAGCGCCAGTCTTGGAAGTGGTAGTAGGGCGGCGGGCAGGTGGGCACGCAGCGGCCTTCCAGGTAGAAGTTGCGGCAGGCCACGCACTTGGTGGGGTCGTCGGGCGCTGAGCAGTTCCCCAGACACTCGCTGTGACAGCACAGGCCGTCAGCCGTGCAGCCGTGCGACTTGCAGATGGTCGGGCACACTAGGGAGAGAGGGAGAGGGTCAGACACTGGATCAAGAAGGTGAAGGAGGAGACTTGTTACCATGGCAACCGCAAGAAGTCTTTTTCTCTCTCTCTCTCCCCCCTTCCCCCTTCATACACACACACACACACACACACACACACACACACGGTTCTGGGCCTGGGTTACACTCATTGAACCCCCCCCCCAGATTGGAGAGGAGGCTTGAAAATGCAAAACAACTTTGTGGGGAGGATGGGGGGGGTGAAGGGGCAGAGTGGCCTTAAATTAATTAAAACATCTGACAAATGTTCCTGGTGAATGCCAAGCTGCTATTGGCCCTCACCAAATACACTCTCCAGGCTAGAGATACAAAAGTAGCCAACTATCCAAACGTGGCAAAATAATATATACAGTAGCAAGTCGCAGCCAGCAACTGCACACCTGTAATCTCAGCTACTCCAGAGGCTGAGATCTGAGGATCACCATTCAGCAGGAAAGTTCCTGAGACTCTTATCTCCAACATACTACAAAAAGGAGGAGGAGAAGGAGGAGGAAGGGGGGGAGGAGGAGGAAGGGGAAAGGGGGAGGAGTAGGTGGAAGAGGTAGGGGAAAGGGGGTGGAGGGGGAAGAGGAGGAGAGGGAGGAGGGGAGGGGGAAGGGGAGGGGGGAGGATGATAAAGGAGGAGGAGCAGTAGCAGCCAGTGGAGCTGTGACTCAAGTGGTAGAGCACCAGCCTTGAGAGAAAAAAAGCTCAGGGACAGCACCCAGGCCCTGAGTTCAAGTCCTAAGTCCCACACACAAAAAATAACTAATTGAAAGTAAATAAATAAAGACAGGGAGAAATGAGTCAAGAGGGACTGTTATTACTAATTATTAATCATTGTTATTGTTTATATTGCAGTCATCTCCTGGATATCCATAGGGGATTCATTCCAAGACCCCCAAGAAAGCAGTATCTTCACCCCCATACTAGTGTCTTTAGATCCTGTCACATGACTTGTAATGCCTAAACAACACCAGTGCTAAGTAAACAGTAATGACCCTGTTCTGTTAGTGAATAATAAGGGGGGGGGGGCGGCTATAACCAGTGACTCATGTCTGTCACCCTCAGGAGGCTGAGATCTGAGAATCATGGTTCAAAGCCAGCAGCCCAGGCAGGTAAGTCCTGAAGAGTCATATCTCCAATGAACCATCAAAAAGCCAGAAGTGGAGGTGTGGTTCAAAGTGATATGAGTGCCAGCCTTGAACCCAGAAAGCTCCAGGACAGAAGCCAGAATCTGAATTCAAGTCACACACACTCATACACACAAAATAAATTAAAAATAGAAGTAAGCCAGGAGCCAGTGGCTCACGCCTGTAATCCCAACCACTCAGGAGACTGATATCTGAGGATCTGAGATCAAAGCCAGCCCAGGCTGGCTTGAAACTCTATCTCCAGTGAACCACCGGAAACTCGAAGTGGCGCTGTGGTTCAAAGTGGTAGAGCACTATCCTTGAGCAAAAAGAGCTCAGGGACAGTGCCCAGGCCCTGAGTTCAAGCCCCACAACTGACAAAATAAAAATAAAAGGCCTGCATAAGTGCAGGTGCATTTACTGAATGCTCTGTTCCCCAGCTGGGCGGACCAGGCAGGGAGGAGTAGCCAGCCTGCTGATGCCCCGCCCCCTCAGAGGATCTGAGCCTCAGCCTCAATTGGAGGAAGTCATATATAAATAGGACAATGGTGTAAGACCCACCAAGGCCCGGTGTCAGACAGAGTGCAAGGAAGCCAGGAAGGGGCTCACATCCTGGCAAGAGCACCATCAAAGACCTCATAAAAACTTCCTGCACACCCCAAGGGCTTGGGGGTGGGGAGGGGCTTGAAAGGGTCAGGGGTTGAGTGATGCAATCTTGATTATTGTGCTGATTGTGTGAGCATACACCCATGCACACGTGCGCACACGTGTGTGCACACACACACACAGAGGTTCACAGAACTGGGGGTTATGAGGCCCAGGAGGGGGTCCTGGAGAAAGGAGGGGGAGCTGAGGAACATGGGGTACTTGGGGATTACCCACAGCTAGCACAGAAGCAGGAGGCCAGGTAGGCTGATGATAGACACAAAATATGGCAAGCACATTTCTAAGAGCTAGAAAAATAACTTTCCTGAAACTACAGTAAGGGCTACAGATGTGGCCTAGTGGTAGAGTGCTTGCCTAACATGCATGAAGCCCTAGGTTCCATTCCTCAGTACCACAGAAACAGAAAAGGCCAGAAGTGGCGCTGTGGCTCAAGTGGTAGAGCGCTAGCCTTGCGCAAAAGAAGCTCAGACAGTGCCCAGGCCCGAAGTTCAAGTCCTAGGACTGGCCAAAAAAAAAAAAAAAGTACAGTAATAGACTGTAATACTAATATTTGAGGCAAGACACAAGTTGTCCTTTTTTTAAAAAACTTAATTATGTGTTATTACAAAGGTGATGTAGAGTGGTTACAGTTACCTAAATCATTTCTCTTTTTTATTTTCTTCTCTTTTTTTGTCGGTTGTGGGGCTTGGACTCTGGCCTGGGTGCTGTCCCTCAGCTCTTCAGCTTTTTCTGTTTATGTGGTACTGAGGATTCAAACCCAGGGCCTCATGCATACAAGGCAAGCACTGTACCACTGAGCCACCTTCCCAGCCCTACATTTCTTTTTGAACAGTATCTCACCTTCCCTCACTCTCTCCCAGTTTTTCCCTCCCCTCTCCACCCAAAAGCTGTGTATGTTTGTTTTCCATTGTCCAGTGAGCACCACGGCTGCATCTGTTCACCCTCTGTCCCCTCATTTCTGTGCTTCCTCCTACCCTCCAAAGACAGAAAATGAACAAATGAGACAAAAAGAAAGCAAAACCAACAACAAAGAGGAAAAAAACCCTCTTGTTTCCATTTCCTGAAGTTCATCTCGATAAATCTTATTTTATGTGATCAGAGACACATAGGCATTGTGCCTTTGTCCTGTGTGGTCTTCTTCTTTTTGGTTTCTGGGTTTCTTGTGTTTTAGTTTTGTTCTGTTGTGTTTGCGAAGAAAGTGTTATAGGGCTTGAAATCAGGATCTGGGTGCTGTCTCTAAGCTTTGTGAGCTGAAATCTAAAGCTCTACCACCACTTTGAGCCAAGGCTCCACTTCTGGCTTTTTAGTTGCTGATTGGAGAATCTCACAGACTTTCCGGCCCAGTCTGGCTTTGAACCATGATCCTCAGATCTCAGCCTCCTGAGTAGCTAGGATGACAAGTGTGAGCCACTGGAAGCTGGCACAAACATTCTTTTAAAACCACTTTGTAACTGGGTGCTGGTGGCTCACATCTGTCATCCTAGCTACTCAGGAGGCTGAGATCTGAGGTTTGTGGTTCAAAGTCAGCCCAGGCAGGAAAGTCTATGAGACTCTTCTCTCCAATGAACCACCACAAAACCGGAAGTGGTGCTGTGGCTCAAGTGGTAGAGTGCTCCCCTTGAACTCAAGAGCTGAGGGACAGCGCCCAGACCCCAGAGTTCAAGCCCCCTGACCAGCAAAAAAAAAGAAAAAAATCACTTCTTTACTACAACACAGGAACCCAACACAAAGCAAAGGATTGTTCTTTTAGGAACTACTGAATAAATTGTTGGCTTTTCATTGTTTTTTTTATTCATTCTAGAAACATATCAAATGCACAGCCAGCTAGTGTTTTCAGAGACATTTTGAGAACACAGGAAACCCCTCCTCATTTTGAGTAATCATCAAAACAGTCACAGAAAGGCTATCTGTGATCTCAGAAAGTTCAGTCTAAATCGGGTGCAGTGGCTTTCATCTATAAATCCAGAGACTTGGGAGGATTGTGGTGTGAGACCAGAGAAAAAGTTCTCAAGACTGCCATCTTGACTAATATGGTGGTGCACACCTTTAATCCCAGCTATGTAAGAAATGTAAATAACTGGCTTTGAACCATGATCCTCAGACCTCAACTTCCTCAAAAGTTCAAATTACTGATATGAGCTACCTGTACCTGACAAATCTTACTTAAAACAGCATCTTCCAAAATAGAGGAATAACCTAACCAGAGCTTGCAGAGGGGGTGCATTTTGAAAAGGTATGAATTTGTAGTTTCTTGCCAAAGAATAAAAGCCCATCTGGAATACATTCAATAAAATAACTGGGCGAGGCACTGGTGGCTCACACTTGTAATCCTAGCTACTCAGGAGGCTGAGATCTGAGGATCACAGTTCAAAACCAGCCCAGGCAGGAAAGTCTGTGAGACTCTTATCTCCAATTAATCACCAGCAAACAGGAAGTGGAGCTGTGGCTCAAAGTGGTAGAGGGCTAGCCTTGAACAAAAGAGCTAAGGGACAGTGCCCACGCCCTGAGTTCAAGCCCCACAACAAGTATATATAGATAGATACATAGACATAGATATAGATAGATATCTATAGATATCTATCTATATCTATCTATACACACACACACACATATAAATAAGTAAATAAAATAACTGGCCTGGGTATTTTGAAAATATGAATGAAAGAAAAAAACTAAGAAATTGTATAGAGAGAAAGAGAGAAAATGGTGGCAAAAAAATGTAGAAGTATGATCCTGAATTGAAATTGGGAAATAATAATAATATCCAATGAAAGAGACTATTGGGACAGGTGATGAATTTATATGACTGTATCAGTGTTATTAATTTTCTGAGTTTTACCCCGTGTGGTTGTTTTTTGTTTTGTTTTTGTCGGTTGTAGGGCCTGAACTCTGGGCCCTGGCGCTGTCCCTCAGCTCTTCAGCTCAAGGCTAGCACTCTACCACTTGAGCCACAGCGCCATTTCTGGCTTTTTCTGATTATGTGGTGCTGAAAATTGAACCCAGAGCCTCATGCATGCAAGGCAAGCACTCTACCACTGAGCCACCTTCCCAGCCAGTGGTGCTGTTATTTGTAAAGGAATTTTCTTGACCTTAGGAAAACCCTCTCTTCCAACTTCAGATGTACTGTGATTTCAGTGGACTGAAATGATTCCAGAAAAGAATTTTCTTATAAGCACCT